TTTTATTTTCAGATATCATACAATCGTAGGAATGTCAGACAATGCTAGAAGTCAGTAAATTCAACTTCCGAAATGTAGTTACTGTTAAGACACTTTTTTCCAGTTCGTTATCAACTGTAATAGGCAAACGTTAAATCATATTTCTGAACAGAAGGATAACTGTAGAACTTGTAATCAAGTTGTGCTCACTTAGTTAATGAAATATATCTGAATAATTCGTCGCAAGTATTCGTAGTGCTTTCTTATATTTACTATTCAAAAATTGATTTATAACATGGAGAGAAGGAATAGACAGCCACTTCGATAAAATTTCAAGTTCATAGCTTCGATACAGTCGTAATTCTTGTTTATTAAACATGAAGTTGAGTTTTAATTATCTGGCTGTAATTAACTATTAAATACTAGAATATATATAAAAAGTGAAATCTGGTTTCAGTTTTATAACAATTTTAGTATATACAGACTATTTCGTAATTCCGTCAGTCATAAGATTTGAAGTTTATTGAACAAACCTAATTGTAGCCGTTTCAGTAGGAGACTTTGTAACTGACTTCAAAAATTAAATTTGCAGATAGTTTATTTGATCATGTTTCATTCTGAAGTTTTAATGTAAGAAATTATCATTATCTATATCACTGATATGAAATAGGATTATTTTCTAGGATTGTAGAGTAAATAATTCCAGTAGAAAAAACTGATTAATATTGACAAATTATCTATAACGTCCATTGATCTTTGAGAAAATAGGACTTTTCTGAGAAAAATATATTAGTATACAATGTTATATCGCGAAAATTAATAACTAAACAAGATATTGGTCACAATGAATCAGTTTGAAATCTTTGCAGAATAGAATAACTGGTTATTACTTAAGTGAGAAGTAATCTTTTTAAGGAATTGATATATTTCTATATTCATATCATTAATATGAAATATGTAAACATTTTTTCTACGTCAAATCTCTGGATACAGGTACTAAAGATTTTCTAAATTTCTTGTAAAGCTACAAAGATTTGTATGCATCATAGACGAAAATATCTGTGGCTCTCTCTATATATATATATACTAGATAATACCTAAGAATGGCTGAAAAACACTGACAGTGGTTAAATAACGAGGTCGAATAGCACGAACAGAAATGCTTCACAGCTATAGAGATAATAGTCGTTACTTGGTCTCTGTAAGATTTTGTTTGCTTGAAATATGAACAGATTTCAGAATTTAAAAAGAACGTTCTTAACTAGACAGATCATATATTGGGAAGTTATTGCATCCGTAAAGCATAAATATTTTGATGACTAACAATCTAGTGGTATTAGCCTAACTGAGATTAGAAATTTTTCCTAGATAACGTTCTAGTACTGATTAATTTGATTCTATTTTATTCTATTCTATTTATTCTATTCTGAGAAAATTTCTAATTCGTACTTTTCGAAAAAAGGGAATTTAACACAATCAATGAACTTCAAAACTATACAAATCATCACAAATTTCAAAATTTTCAGCATTGTCTGTTTCTAATTGTGTTATATGTATTTAACCAAACACCTCTGGCAATTTTTAATGTTCCTCAATGCTTGTTGGGATGAATTCCAGTATTACGAATTTCTGATGCAATTCAAATACCACCCACTCATAAATAAAGATGAATAATGATTTCATGTTATTTTCTAGTACTCAAGTGCACTGAATAATTGGTTAAAACAAACTAGTATTCCGAGCAAACATCAAGTCCCTGTCAAAATGGCTATGCATGTTTGAATAAACTAGCCAACTATTACAGCCAGTGATAATTGACAAGACAGCTATTGAACAATATTACCCAGTGTTTCGAGTTCATTTCAAATTCATCAAAACTACAATATCTCTGATATATAAGTAACCGCAACTTAATACTCAAATATACACATATATCCTAAATACCCTAAAATGGATCGTAATCCCTATTACAAAACAATATCAGAAATTCTTCAGCTCAGGCTCCATAAACTAACTACACGAATCCATATTTACTGCTTGAGTTACACTACTAATTTAGTAGTGTAAAATATTAAAACGCTATACAATAATGTTTCAAAACTCATACGTCCGAAAATTCATAACTATTCTCTTAGATTAGTAAAACTACCGGTGTGGTGGTTTAGTGTTAAAAGTGCTTTGCTCTCAACCAATAGGCAAAAATGTTACAATACCGATTTGATCACTTCATTTGAGATAATTATGTAGTGTCAATAGTTCCAAGAACTAGAATATAACTTAAACTTGAGAGCATAAGTCTATACTTGGCAAATCGGTTGGATAATAGTTTATATCGAACAACTTTTTATTTTGATGTCAACGGGGTAGAAGAAAACTTTATACAACTTGAAAGGTGAACCATTCATCACGAACGGAAATAATATGAAACTTATGATAAGATGGAATTCAATCAATTAAATAAAAATACTGTTTCCAGTAATGATCAGCCAAATCAACGGAGATAAATTTTTAAACATTTTCAACTTTCTGTATCATTTCAAGATTAATGCAAACTACAATCGCATTACCAGAACTGACACTGATCAAGGAAATAAAGTTAAAACAAGATACTTAGACTATATAATATCAAAATAAAAATCTATTTTGCACCTTTTGCTAATGATAAAATCTAGCTAAAAAGAAATCAAAAATATTGTGATAAAACAAAACTCATCAATTTACACTACTATTAAGTAGTACGGAAAATTTAGTCGGTTTTTTCGAAATAATAGAGGAACTGTACACGCTAAAAAAACATACAATTAAGAAATAAAATAAAATATATGTACACATTAAGGGAGTTAAAGAGAAATAGCCATTTTTTATACATAATTTCTGTAAAAAAGAGTAAGAAATAAAATGTGTTGCGTTTTCGTTGTCAAAATTAGCCAACAAATGTAAAAATAGACAAAGATCATGAAGAGAAATAAAACAAAAATACAAATTATATACAGATATTTTTGTAAAGTTGCGAAATAATTTTCAAAACTAAAAGCATAACAGGAATAAAGAAGTGGAAAAGCATCAATAAATAAAAATATGCGCAACAAGCAATCTATGATCATTTCAAACTAATACAATCATCAATCAAAAAAACATTATTTAAATGTGTTCAACACAAACTAATTGAAGCTGTTTTACTCACTGAACTATTATTATTAATATTACTATGTTGAAATGATTCAGATAATCCACTATTAATTAATTGAATAATATTATGTTTCAAACAAAATGAACGTCCCAAACATTGAATAACACAATTAACAAATTCACTAGTAGATGAGAATTGATGATTTCGATTTGAAGAATTTAATTCATGAACAAAATTGTCACATAGTTGATCATAAACCTTTAGAGCAGGATAGAACAAAAAAAGAGAAAGAAAGAACCAGTGAGTAGTGATTTTAAACTAACTAGAAAATAAAAACAGAAGGAATAGTTTGCTATTTTATGTGAAATATTTCAATACTCAACAGTCAAGTACATATATTAATGGCAGAAATCCATGAAATCACTAACAAGTGGACTGAGTCATGTTAGTAGATGTAGGCTACCTGGTTGGGGTCCGCGAGATGAAAGTCACCAATGGTCAGAGACTTTGAAAGATATGGCTCAAAATCGTTTGTAATGGTGCAGGTGCATCCACTCTTTGTGTACTCTCTAATTCTAACCCTCTGAATTCATCATCATCTCTATCTATCTCTTTCTAAATTTATCTCACTGAATTATACTTCCCGAATAATATCCTCGAACCTTAATCTTCTCCGTTACTGATAATACTTCTACTTTCGCTACCACTATTGGATTTGAACTGACAGTTGCGTCTCTGTGTTGATGGGGTATGGCAACCTGAACTGATGTACGTACGTACGTACATCAGTTCAGGTTGCAACTGACAGACTAATTATTAATAAGAAACTTCAAAGAGAATCTTGAAAGTTCTACTGTTTAAGAAATAGCGTACAATGATATGATGTGTGAAATAGATAACAATTGATGATAATTATGTAACATAGAAAATTGACATTGTTGACAAAGTCCATCTGCATACTATGAAAAGTCAATACTTTTGAAATCCTTATTAATATAACGAATTCTTTCTACTTTATCAAAACGCCTGAATTATGTTTTAGTTACCTTTTAGTTATGATAAAATTTACAATTAATAATAACGATCATGTGTTCATTAGCTTTGCAACAGATTTTCGAAAAATTACAATGACAAATCATCATCTATAAAACTTAATCAATTTTTAAGAGGCAAGAACTTGCTGATGATATGTTAGTCATATATTTGCATTGATTGATTGTGAAGGTATGAAGCTATGTGCGTGAAGGTTGTTAGGGAATTTGAAACTAAACGTAACAATTGTATAAAATTCTTTAGCTGTTACAAAAGTTTTTATGTTAATATGAGTATACCTTTAGCAATCATTCAACTAATAGTTGAACGATTGTTAAATCAACGTCAGATCAGGTATTTTTTTTTCCACTGTATTATGAATTGGAAAATGTCAGTCAAAGATTGGACATAAGTAATCCCCTGAGGTTATGTTACCTCATAGTATTAGTGAAGCTCATTAAGAACCAAAGTTCTGAAACGGAAAAGTACTTGTTAGCACATTACTACCATTCAGTAACATGTGTTTCATATCAATTTATCGGTTCATTTAGTTGTCACAGTAAAGACATATAAATATATTATGCATGTTAAACAAATGATGTTGCCCTTCAGTGATTATATTTTGCATGGTAATTAACTTAATCGTTCGTATTTGAAAGTAAAGTATTCGTGGTCTTAGACTGGGATCTTAAGTACAAAAAACAACAAAATAATGAGTCTTACGCACACATAGCTGTTAGAGTAGCTTACTCTAATGTACAATGATCTGAGTCGATTCGGTTTAAGCAATAAACAGTTGCTTTCGACCACTAACATCTATCATGTTATATGTCGATAATCACGGACAATAAGGTATTTTGTAGACAAATATATTGAAAGAAAATATTACACTTTAAACGTACACACATACAAGATATAATCTGACCAAGTCTACTTACGTTATTCCATAATGATTCTGGCAATAAACTGTCACGTTTAAGCATTGTTATTAAGAAGTTATAATGCTTTTTTCGTTGCTTATGTTTTGATAATGCAAGTAAGTAATTATTGTCTCCATGTAAGGATATGTCGACAGTGATATCGGCAGTAGTATAAGGATGTTTTGGTAAAGATTTATTCCGTGTTTTGTCACTTTTATTATTGTTACTAATATTATTAAATAAACGTTTTAACTTTTCATTTTGATATGAAGCATAATTTGTAGTTAGTAGATAGTAGGCTAAATTTTTACAATGATCTAATGCCATTGTAATGACTGTATAAATGAAGAAAATGACAATAGTGATCAAAATTATTTTGTGATAAGAACAAAAACAATTTCGGAATATTCCGTTTAATTAACTTAAATTTTCGAATTTAAAATTACAATAGGCTGAGTGAAAACACTGCTGTGCTATTGCATTTTTTTAAATCATGAGTAGAATTCAGTGAAATTTGTACAGAAAATTAACATGGATGAATTATAACTCCTGTATGCCAAGTTCAAACCCATGCATTGAACGTTAAGGCACATTTTCGATGTGAAGGAGAATAGAGTTTCAACTAATGCATACTCTGGTTATGCTCAAGTTGAAATATGCTGATTGATGCATGTTCAACTAATCAACGCTAGTGGACAACTGAAGAAGATGCTAGAAGATTCTTATGTAAATTTTATAGAAATCCCAGTGCTTTCAGCATTGTATCTTTGTTGTTTGGGTTATTGGGATGTATATGCTAGTGCACTTGCAATTCTTGTTCTGTTTAAAAAAAAGGTAGAATGAAGTGTAGTGGTCATGCAATGCAACGCAGTAGAAAAATAACAGATGGAAATACGTTATTTGGTTTTCGAAACTAAAACAAATATAACACAGTGACAATCTGCTACCACACGGTCAAAAGTATGTTGCTTTAACCATCGATTCCTTTGGTGCTACGAGTCAACTTTCTATTTATCCGAAGGTTTTTTGAGTTATCATAACCCATGGCGATTTACTCTTTTCGTTCCAGTGAAGCGTCATAATCAAAACGATGCATCTTTGGGAAATATTCTGTGTTCTACACCTAGATTGTTCCCAATAAACGTATTACGATGTTTTACAAACATTTCATGACAATAATGTCGTCCCATACCTAAACAGTAGTTTAAAAGACTTGAGGTTCCAAAAGATTTATGTAAAAACTAATGTGAGCGGTAAAGTATGATGAGAAAATGCTTAATAACTATGTTTAAATCTCTCACTGAAACAGATAATCAGTAAAATGTGCTTACTAAAAGTAATCAACGATAATATTTCGAGCGATGATTAGTATTGGAACCAATAGCAAACACTTCTCCTGTTTAAGATTAGTCACTTGCAATAATATGGTTATTCTAAATTCAGAATGGGAAATTCATATAAACAGAAATAAGACTTACAACCTACAAAAATTCTTTAAAAAACCGATTACGTAGTTGGAATATTTGGCGTTTCTAATCCAAAGCAGAAATTTTCTTCCGAATTACGATACCGATTTTCGTGCAAGACAGTCTAAGAAGACAAGTGTAAATGTACAAGATTTAAAATTGAGTATGTAAAAGGTTCTGTAAGGAATGAATCATAATCCTCTGAGAAATACAAACGATTCTTGACATTACTCGCTACTTGAAGTGGTGGCCGAGCTTGTGTATCGTGATGACTTAACCGAGCTATATTGGTTGGAACACATGTTCCTTTAGGTCATACCATGCAAGGCAGGTTGAGCTGAGAACGGTAAGACTAAAAGCAGCAAGCTTAGATCTGAGGGCGAAGTCATACCTAATATAATCCCCCAGAATATGTTTTAGACAGTAAGGCCCTAAAAATTCCCATTAAAAGGCCGTGAGTAAATGGCCTTAAGTAGTTGTTTCTTGAACTCTGCGGTCATGTTCTCAGGTGGCTAGGACTAACGCCAACCCAACTTCCTTTTCCGGTTCTTCAAGAAATACGATTCCACAACGAGAGCAGCTGGGTAGTAAAATCCACCCGAATACCCCTCGCAACTCACACGATTAACTTGCTAACAGAAGAATTCTTCCCGTACTTCTAATTAACTCTAACTCCGACTAATTTTCCTCTTACACCTTTATCACCGTGCGCCGCTAAGTAATAATTTGAGTACATGAAATGTTATTCCTGGTCTCCCGAAACCCCACTCTAAACTACATTTTGGAGGCTTTAATGTTCGGACCTTGTGCCAAATGGGACAACAGGATTTCTTAGCCAGGACTTAAGAGTCTCGCGCAACAGATGTATGTTGAACCTCCGAAACGCGCATACAGGATCCGAACAGAGTAATATATTAGACCTAACCTTGTAAGTATAAAGAATGGTCACTATTTGCTCTTCGCGTATCTGACGACCTCACTGCTACTACCCTAGTCTGAGAATACTGCCCATACTTCTACTACCTCTACCACTATGAGGTTTGAATCGACAATTACATCTCTGTACTATTGTGGTATGGCAACTTGAATTGATGTACGTGCGAAGTTCTACGTTGTTGCTGAGTGATTAACGATTGTGGAAATTTGCATGGATTATCGATTTCGTGAATAAATTTGGTAGCGGAATCAGTGGACGCGTCGTAAGCAAGAATGCCCATTATTATTAATGATTTTCAATTTTAGGGATAATAAACACTTACTTGTGAAGATGTTCTACAAACTGCTATACAAAATTCAAATGCATCTGTAGCTAATTGTAGATAACGTTTATTGTTAGAACTAACATTCTGGACAACTTTATCCCACAAAGGTTTCTTGAATGCAACATAAGAGAAAAATGACGCTTATCAATTGCACAGTTGAAAATACAAACTGAATTAATTTGAAGTATACACAAAATGAAACTCAATAAGTAGAAGTTAAATGCTTTGATCACTAAATCAACATTGATTTATCCAGAATTAAGTAAGTAGAAGGCACATGATTAAGACTAAGCACTGGTAACAGTCTAGTAAGAGCTTCAATGACAGGTCACAACTCGGCTCTACATAAGCTTCATTGGAACAATAGAAGATGCAACAAAAAATGTGCTACAGAACATTAACAATAGCTTCGGAGGTGAACGATACCAAGGCTGTGGTTAACCCAAAATGAAGTTATGTGACTACCCTCTGGTTCATTTATGAAGTTAACCTGTTTGCTTGACAGGTGTTCTTAGTTAAGTAAACAGATAGATTCACTAACAACCTGGATGTAGCCAAGGTATATTTGATTGCTGTCTCGTAAATTACATACAAACTAAGAAGTCTATTTAGTCAAAGGTATTTCTATACTGTTAAGTTAGGACGAATTGTTCATCAGATTACAGGAAATTTTTAAACAAGATTTTAGCGCAGTCAAAATTAAGATTTTAGTGAAGTATTAATCAATAAATAGAATGGCAGTTCGGGAATATTGGAAATAAACCGATTGCGTAATACGAAACGGGTTTACCAAGAAGGTGAGGAAATATGAAAATAAAGTCATGATTGAGTTAGAAACGACAAAAAAGTAAGCTTACAATAAGGCAGTTGAATGTTAACTATTGACTTGTTGAACACAAGAGTTAGGTTTTAACCCCATCGTTGCTATAATCTCTGCCAATTTCAACATAACTGTGTTGTGCATTAGTTATTTTGGATACCTTTATCTGATCCGCTTTATATGCTTTGCTCAAGTGGTTTACTATCGAACTACAAAAACTGCTTTCGCAGCTGCATGTAACATGTATATCACATACCTCGGAACTCTGATGATATTTTCGTGAAGATATTTTCGAGGTCATAAGAAATTAGAGAACCACTGAATTAAGGCCCCTATTCTATTCATTGACTTTTGACAATCAAAGCCCACTTATTAGCCCGGTTCATTTCATAAACCTGGACCCTACTAAGTGTAAACGCTTCACAGAATACGGTATATAAGAGTGCATTTTGTATGGACAACTATTAAGACTACAGTTTAGCAAGAGGACTTTTTAAAATATTAAATTAACGGCAATTGAGTAACAATGTGCAATTAGGCTGAGCCATAACAGTTTTCTAGGCGCCAACTAATTGTCTGAGCCTCAATAAATAGAGGCAATTGAGTTAATAACTTGTAGTTAAAACTCTAGATGTGTTCACTAAGTGATGCATTAAAGTTTCGATAATTGATAAAAAGAGTTATAACAATAAGCTGTAACTTACATTAATTGGATTCAGGCAGCAAGAAACACAGTGCTCATAAATAGAACAGCAGTGATTGAATTTGCACGAATGACAAACAAAACGCTGTGTTGAATTTTCAGATGAGCAACAACTATTTGTTAGAAGATTAAAATAATTGCACAGATATCCTAGTTCATCAGCAACAAGTATGGGACTTTGTTTAGTACGGCGACATGTTACGTTCAACGATGAAACCTTAATATCTGAAATGCGAATGAAACCGAAAAAATAAATGGACATAGGATTGTAAAAGCAATAAATATGATCGAAGTGAACTACTTACTGGAACGTAACTACCCTGATTCAGTCTAGGGCGATCTGGTTAGTGTATGACACTAATCTGCGAAATGAGTACTCAACCTGCCCAAGTAGGAAAATACAGACCTCCTAGAAGAAATCGTCGATTAATGAAAACCAATGAAAATCTTCCATTTTACCGCTCAAGATTGCTCAAAACTACGCAAATAAATTCATCATTTAACTTTCGGAGGGAAGTATTACTTTGTAGTTTGTATCTGATAAGTTTCATTTTCCATTTAAGCATCTTACGGCTGCTAGCAACTGCTGTGGATAAGAATTATTTACGGGTCATAATCAAGTTCTGTTAGATCCTCATTTCTTTGGCTGCCACATCAACACTATTTCGCTCACTTTTATGTTTTTATCTTATTGTGATGTAAAATAAGGCAGTCTCTATTGATCCATGTTTTTATGGATTTTCGACGATTATTTACGTGTCTAGTATATATGAAGCACATCGTTTACCAATTTTAAGATTAAATATATCCAAGTGATTGAGTCAGAAATACGCTTGATGCATAAATTCCCGTAGACAGTGAGTAAAAAACAAAACTTTCTTAAAGACTGTAGCTCTTACCGAAGTGTAGCGGTTCAGATGGGAAACTTTTATGTTCAATAGTTTTCACGCTTCCTTTACGATTCTAAGGTACATGTTTGAGAAAAATTTACTCACAAACATTGTATACGAAAGTTGAATACAGGATACACATGGTTATAAATACGATGACCAGAATTCGAAAGTGAGGGCGAGTCATGAATTTGTCGTAATATAACTGCTTATCGCTGATAGGTTGTCCTGAAGGATGAAAAATCTGGTCAGAATTCAAAGTCCACAAAAACTACGAGTACAAATTTGCATTAATGGCAGAAGAATTCGGTGGAAAAATGCAGATGTAGGCCTTAAATTTCAGTTGAAACGTGCTAGCATGCATGTATTTAAAACAATGATAAGGATTTATTTTTTCAGAAGTTTAGTTCTAACTGAACGGAGGAATCCTTTGAAAAAACTGTTTTACATGTTTATATCCTGAAAATCATTGTTGTACATCCCTAACAGGATGATTAGTACAACAATAATTCCTAGAATATACGCACGAAAAACAAGGTTTTCGCCAACGATTCCTCACAGTGCTGTCAGAATAGTCCCTTATCATTGTTTCTTTGAATACATGCATTAACTCTATGACTTAGGATAAGTCATTTAGGGTCATAAGTGATTCATTCAGGTAAGCACATATATGACGTAGCCCGATAGCGTTCGTTAGATCTGGAATCGGTTTTCCATTGCTTAACAATTATCCAGAATAAAGAAGCATGATAAACAAAATATTGTGAATAACTGAAGGCAGGAATGTAGGTACAGACAGCTCCCCCCTCCCACATTTTGGCTTCCGTTTTCTAGTTGCTTGGGACGCACAGAACATAAAATGTAATGAATGGAGGTATGTCCTGAAATAATTGCATACACACCCTGAATCTTCGTAAAATGAGACTCTCCAAACAACTGTTTGGTTTAAACAACTTTAAATGGGAATTACTTTTCAGTTTATACATGAAAAGTATCATGGCTATATAGGATAATCACTGAGCATTACTAAGTACCATGAAGTTTACTAGTGCAAAACGATAAGAAACTTCTCGCACCACACTTCGTAAGACTGAAACAAAAGAAACGTGTCCGCAAAACAGATCACCTGGGTGCCGCAGAGTTTAAATATTTTACTACGTTATAACACGGATAAGGTAGTTGATAAAATATATACTGATTTCTGTAGTCTTAAAAACAAGGTTCATATCATGGATGCAAGAATTTGGTTTTTACCTACTTCATTCGAAAAGGTTAAATTTCAATGTTGTCTTCAGTTTTACAAGTTGGTACAGGTGACCAGGTGATTTGAGTTAAAACCTCAAGAACTTTAGCAAGCTGTTGACTTAATGTTACCTTTTATTCATAGACGGAAGGTGATGACGCAAAGAATTTATGAAGGAAAATCGGAGTTCCAGCCAAATTATCTAGTTGGACTGTTTCAAACTAAGATGTATTGGACATTCAAAGCTTGACAACGCTTTTGTCTGTAACACTTCCTAGATCGCGAATACCCATAGCTAAATCAATTCAGGAGTCAGGAATAAAGACGTTGACGACAAAAAGTAATTCGAATATTTTTTACGTACTTGTTTTAGATTCTGTTGATTCATTTTTATATACTTCAAGAAGCACCACTGAGTAAATATACCTTCACATTTTTTTGGTCCATCACAAAGTTTCTGAGTTTGTCAAGTGGGCAAGTCAGGCCTATTAGAAAGTACGACATGAAACATTCCATTATTTGATCACTAATCAGTTCGCCATAAGCTTTTAGATCTCCACTTAATTAACAGTAACAGACTAAATGAGTCGAGATATCTATGCTGCAGTTACATGTAAGCCAGGTGACTTGTTATCAGGACTACTAGGTCTTTGTACTTAGTAGTCTTCGTTTAAGCTTTTTTCATCATCGATTTAGGTCATAACATTCTAGTAATAACTCATTTATGATAACCATCCGTATGTTTACTCAGTCATAGCATCCAAATCTTACTGTTATCTTGTGGCTCTCATTTTGTATAGATCTATACAGTCATTTTACAAATTTGACGTTTACTACATAGTCATTTCGAAATTTGGGATCAAGTCTGTTCTCTAGTAACATGGATAATCGTAGGATTACCGCACGTATTGTCACATTTTCTTTGGCACGATTTTGGTATTCTTTAAATATCACGAAATCGCCATAAAATGTACTCCACCTGGATTATCTCTTGTTCCCCGTTTTAGGTTTACAACAGGACAACGCGTCAAGACTAAAGCATAATTGATTTGTAGTTGTGTTCGTGGTCAACCTCAACTCGACCCACTGCAAACCTAATATGGCACTCTTCTACTTATTACCTAGCTTTTATTCATCACTTTATAACCTAGTTTTGAAGCCTTAACAAATGTTTACTGTGGCCGATAAAAGCATTATCCATTACGGACATGGGTGTCTTTCAGTTAAGCCTGATCTTCGGCAATGAGGATATTGGTAGCATTGGAAGTAATTCCAAGCTACTTAATCAACGAATTCAAGAGCATCTCCCAGTATGGATTGAAGAGGGCCAGATCAAAACAATAAGCTGTTCTATCTTGTCATATCTGACCGATAGCAGTCATGATGTAGATAAATCTGGATAATTTCTGGATACCTCCCTTCATTTCCCAACGTAGTTCGATACCGTCACTTACATATAGCAGAGGCAATAGGAACCCGTACATTCAACCCCTATTTGTGTTCAGAAAAACTTCGTGACATCCCCATCACCCCCGTAGCTGGATATAACTTAACAAAGTATTTCAAAAATCTTTGTATATTCTATTTTATTTTTGTTATCAATAGCATTATTTTTATATCCTGTACTTGTAATTTTCCTTTCCTCTACGTTTCTATTTCTCACTATCTAATTATCTATACACTTCTTATTACGTAATACTTTTATTGTTTTGCATTGATTATTTTAAGTCTATTTATCCACTTTTGACTTACTGTTTCTAATTCTGAGCAATCGATAGAACTTTTGTTATCATATTTGATTATTCTTACTACTACCAGCAAACTTGTCTTCCTAATATCAACGTGTACTTTTGACTATTATGTTTGTTGATTACCGGCTCAAGTTGCTTTGATTAGTCTAACATTTTCATATGAGTATTCATGTATATTAGAGTAAAGCCTGATGAAGATCTAATTATTCTAATGTTCACAATGGGAATCTTTAATATTCATCCTTCAATCGTAAGCTACGAGAATTCAAACCTTTAACGCAAGTTTATGTATCCAGAGGAAATTTTTGAAATCCCTGTCTCATCTTTGGCTGGATATTTATAACCTGATAGACGATTTTATTTCATCGTCACTTTTTTTACCTGATGCATTTGCTCATTATTTTTAACCCCAATCCGTTTACATTTTCTACTATCAAATCATTTAGGTACATCTCATTACGTAATTCTAACAGTGGTTTGTTTTTATCATTTTAAGACTATTTATTCACCTTTGACCTATTGCTTGCTGAACTGTTGACCAGAATTGTTATTATTTTATCATTCCTGCCAGTTAATAGTGTAATTGTGATCCTACTATCAATTTTTCTTTAATCTACTGTGTAGTTAAGTAATCTATTTCATTCTGATCACTGACTCTTAAACAAGTTGATTGGTCTAAAATTTCTATGTAAATATTCACGTACATTAGAATTAGGCCCAATGACGATATAGTTCGAAATATTTTGGTAAGCTAAAACATATGGTTATGAAATGAGAGTTGAACAACTAGTTAGTTCGTTAGGGTGAAGGTCATAAACCCGTTATTACACCTCTGTCTTATGGACTGTATTCTGACAATCTTGATTGCTCCAGATACATGTTCAACTAAATCATTATGAACTCAGCATTTATACGTAACAGAGCTGTAATGGTTCCGGGATGTACATCAGGGTACATCTGGATTCAAATGCTAAGGTAGTTATGCGGAAACTTTGTTCGCATCAAAAACAAAATCCTTTACAATATTCGTTTCATAGAATAGCTAGAAGATCTCTGAATATCAGTCAGAAACGCTTCAGCATATAGTTTTGACGGTACGGTGGGTTTGTCTTTTCTGTCTCCTTTTACTATTGCTTATTGATTACGCTGAAGAAACAAATAGAGGCTGCAGCGCTACTCAAAACCTTCCCCCTTATAAAAGGAAACCAACCTTTGGAACCGTTCTCGGAGTCTTAAGCCAGTGTCTGACAACATAATAATGTAACAGCGGCCAATTTATTGTGGTCAAACATATAATTCATTGGATTCATTGCCGATGTTCTAGACAAAATAGCTATCCAGTGTTTCCCGGTGTTCAGAATTTCCAAAATTCTGACGATTTATGACCTTAGTTATCCGGCTTACAATTCAAACAATCAAATAGATTCCTTCTTAACTATAAGCTAGCCTACATTGTCTAGATCCTATAGTGATAGACTAATTTCCAATATTTGTCAATGTTCAAGAGGTTTCTTGAACTCTGTTGTTATCTTTGTCAGATACTTGTTAGATCTGAGTGAAATTAGTCGAGGTACAAACCAAATCATTTAGAATATATACCAACCACTTAAAAACATTGAGGCGTTCACGGTACAATCAAAAATTGCGTATGCTGTGAGAGTGTCAACCGCATGCTCTGTGGCCGGATCCTCAATCTTCGTTCTTGTTGTCCGACTAAACAGTTCATCCATATCAAATGACGTGTTTACGTGCACGCAAAACAGTAATATTTTTCGTTGTTCAGTAAATATTTCAGTTTTAATCGTGTACTAACTGTAAGATTCAGAATGAATCCTGAGTTCGGGAAAACAGTTCTAGAAGTTTAGATACGCGCCTTGCCCAGTTAATCTATATAGAAAGCAATTTATGTGGGTAAGAAACCGTTCTTTCATTAATCAGATGGTACAGATAATTACATAAACAATATTACACTGTTTTCGTTCAAAAATAACTCAATGTGTTTCCGATTCTGGAAGAATGCTTCCGTATAGGTTCAGAAAGAAAGAGTCAGTAAGAACATATTACAAATATATACATGGAGGGGTTTTTCCAAAACAGAGCCTTCAAAGTGGATTCTCAACTAACTGTAATATCCATTTTGGAAGGATTTGTTTGTGAAAATCCCTCCATGTATACATTTGTAATTGGTCCTTAGTGATTCATTCAGTTGCACATTTTGTTGATCTGTTCAATTTCAATTGAGATGATAATATTTGTATTTTATTATAGTTTCTATAATTTTGTCCCTTTACTGAGTTCCTGTGTCTCTTTCAGAACTGCGTTATATTCTTTAAGCTGATGCTCGTTTATGACGACAGCCATTGATCTTCTGGCGGTTGGTGCGCTTACCCTGACTGAATGTGTGCAATTAGGATTGGAAATTGGAGCACTCTTCCAGAATCGGAAACACTGTGTTATATAAGAGATAGAATATCATTTATTCGAAAAGCTGAAAGAATAACGCTGTAATATTGTTTAGAACCGTTACTTACCCAGATCACTTGTCTAGGATTTAAACTGGGCAAGACGCATACCTAAACCTCCTGAGCAAGTATTTCTGAATCCAATCCTCAGTTTTGGATTCTACACTAAGGACTAGAAGTTGCTTTTACCCCTAGTTCACTTCAATTTATGATCACTGTGTTTCATTATTATATTCCATAACTTAACGTGATTTCTGACAATTCAGTTTTTTTTAATCTCATGTATTCATAAGATTACTTTACCATTCATTATCTTACTAGTGACTTGTCTTCATCAACCTACACAAATGCAGGTGTACAGTTAGTGTGCTAATACAGAAAAACATCATCTTCTGACTCACGATTCAGTTTTGTAAATGAATATTTTCTGTTCTTCTTGACTCTCTTTTCTCTTTATTTCGCTTTTCAAGCACCTCATCCTACTCCATAAATATTAGCCTTGGTATTGCTCAAGACTTGGTTGCTTTAACTAGGAGCCTGTCAAATAGTTTTCCGACAGATCTAAACATTAAGATCATAACATATTTACTTATTACCTCCTGTAATATACAGCACTGGCTTTAACTTATATTGATTTTCAACCATCACTGGTTCGTCGCAACTCAAACGACATAATTCGCACCAACTGTTGTGTTGTACATTCCAGAGTCTGAAACAGTATTTAAACTTTTATGCGAACGTTGTGAGCCCTTGATAAAACACAAGTTTATCTTGGTAAACATTTATATAACTGAGCAACCTTTTATAGAAAATATATAAGTAAAACAACATTATTATTATCATTATAATGGAATTTACCACTATATCCTGAATTAACTGACCACAAGAAAGCACTTGAAAAAACGAACATTTAAAAGTCTTCTTCGAGTTGATAGTATGATGGAGTAGATGGCCAACATAATTCAAGGCTCATATGATGGACTAAACTGCAAAATCGTGCATGAAGGACAGCTCACAGACTCGTTCCAAATGAAGACCGGTATCAGACTAGGCTGCTTACTCTCACCATCTCTCCCTCTCCTGTTGATCGACTGGGAGAAGAACGGGATACAGGGAAGATCTGGCATGCAGCTTGACCATGTTGAATTCATACAGCATCTGGCTCTTCAAACCCTCATGCAACAACAGATCCAGGAGAAGACGACCAGAGTGGTTGCAGCCTCGGCAGCAGTAGGTATCAACATACACAGGAGGAATACTACGTTTCCTACTACGATACAACGCGACGTTCACTAACCGAATCACACTTGACGGAGAAGCTTTGCAGCATGTAAAAACCTGCACATATCTAGCCAGCATTATTGGTGAGCGGATGTGAAGTCACGCAGCGACAAACAAGGGCAGCATTTCTACAATTAAAGAACGTCAGTAACTCAAAACAGCTGTATGTCAGCCAGCACCAAATTCACAATTTTCAATACAAACGTGAAGACAGTTCTGTTGTATGGAGCGGAAACTTGGAGAACCAAGAAAGTCACCATCCAGAAGATACAGTCGTTCATTAACGGTTGACTACGTAAGACACTTCCGATCCACACACCATCATCAACAACCCCTATTGTGGCAGAGAACAAACCACATTCCATCAGACCAAAAAATCAGGAAGAAAGTAGTGGAAGTGGATAGGAAACACATTGTGTAGAGCAATCAACTGCATCCATCATCGTATGACAAGCTCTCACTTGCAATTGTCAAGGCGGAAGTTGCAGAGGAAGACCAATGCACATATCTGGCCGAGATTTCGGAGCGGACAACGGAAGAATGAATAGCAGTTGAGAACAACAATGAAGGAGATCCCAGAACAGAGTGGGTTGCAGAATGCTGGTGGGTGGCCTTTTCTTCGTACGAGGCAACTGGAGCAAGTAAGTAAATAATCCTTACTGATGTATTCAGCTAGCTCGTAATTTACCTTACCTAGGCTGTTATTAGTTTATAGTATACCCAAAATGCCTGTACTCGCACATAAACGAATGGACTAAGGGAAGTGGCAGCACACTAGCAATAAAAGTAAAACGTTGTATCGCATCACTGATTACGATTGTTAAAGCTCAGGCATTCTCACATAGCCTCAGCGATGAATATACGACAGAGGTTCCTTTCCATCCAGTTCGTTCAAACTCCTCTATGCACTCTGTGATATCCCCAGTCTGCTGTATAAGCTTGATTCTATAGGACTGGATGAGATGCACCCATTATCACTCAAGGGACTAACAAATTTGATCATAAATGTTTTAGGCATACTTCGTAATTTATCTGAAACCCAATGCAGGTTTCTAAAGGATAGGACGGACATAATTGTATGTTCCGTCTTCAATACAAGCACGCAAAATGGACCTCAGAACTGTTGGTCCTAAGTTCGACTAGCGTTGTTGTTAAGACTTTAGAAAAGATAATTCGTAAGGACCCTCAGAAATGATCTGAATTGTCTAAAATTTTACCGTCGCTTACAAATGCTTTCAGGAGCATCATTAAGCATATTGGTAGCCAAAGTTCAGATACATACACGGTGAATGACACTGAGCAACTTGATGTCCAGAAACACATTCAGCTAGGAGAAAGCAATGGGTAAAACTGAAAGACTACCGCACATTGTTGTGCAAAAGCCGCCAAATAATTTGGAATCCTATGATCAATAGCTGAAGCTTCCACCACGTCGATCCTAAATATTTTCAGTTTTTATATACAGGGTCCATTCGTTTCAAGCTAGAGTAATGCCTAAAATTAACCACTTCTCGCATAAAAAGGACAGTGAGCTGTTAAAAAAGGTTAAAAGAAAAAAAACTAAGTTGATTTTCGGACTCGTACAGTTGCAGACTGTAGAGAGGCCGGGAAATTAAACCCATTTTTCTTATCATATAGAAGGACCAAAGGAAACTTCAACGTCATTTTTAAATTAAATCATGTTAAATTTGCTTTCATTAGGCCTTCATTTTTTTCCTTTCAAAGCAAAGAATTTACGAGGACACTAGAAAGTTCAGGAGCCGAGAACAAACTACTTGTCAACTGAATATTAACTTTCTGATTGAATCATCGAAAAAGAAATCTCGCAAGGTCAGCATCTGGTTGGATCTTCACCTGTCTACTTATTCAAAGGAAATTCAGACCAACTAATAAGTCCAAATCACTAGGACCAAGACAAATCACACAGCCTCCTGTTTTTCCCAACCGAAACAGAAGTATTAGAATTACAATCGATAATTGCCTACTGACGACTTTCAAGAAAAATGAAGTTTCAAGGTCTAATATCACATGTTTAAAAGTCTCAGTTCTATAATAACCTAGGACACCAAAGAGTGAGTATTTTTAAATGGCCAAGAAAAGGGGAGAGATTGCATTGCAAGAGGAGGTTTCCGATGAAGATGGTTGGAACGCATTACTGGAGAAAAAAGGCTTAATAGGTATTGCTTTGTAGGTTTCTTAGTTCGTATTTCAGTTGTGGATGTTTATCAAGAATGGTGTGGTCCTTGTTCAGCTATTACTGGGCTATTCAAACGACTGAAAACAGAACTAAACGACGATTTGTTGAACTTTGCTGTTGCAAAAGCAGATTATATTGAAAAACTTGAGTTGTATAGAGGAAGTTCTATGCCTTGTTTTCTGATTTTCGGAGTGAGTAACCACATTTGATTTTAACCGGATAGGGTGGGCGCCTTGTTGCAGCAGTAAGAGGAGTAAACCCTCCAGAGTTGGAAAAATGCATCCTGAGCAAGTTGAAACAGGAACATGATGTTCTAGCGGGTGAGGCTCAAAGGGTTGAGGTGAACTAAAAATTCTGTTTTAAATTGTTCTGTAGATCAAAGATCCTATGGTTGTTGCCAAACAGCAGAAAGAGGCAGAGATGAAAAGGAAAATGGAGGAAGAAGAAGGTAAGTGGCTTGTTAAAAGACCACACCATGAAATATGAATGAAGAAGTTAAACAGGAAATCACCGTAACGGTACTGAAACCTGATGTTGTGCAATCTGGAATGGCAGAACAGATTATTGATGAAGTTAGTAACAATTTCTGGTTTGATTTTGTTTCAGCTTAAAGAGAATGGCATTGAAATACTTGAAAGTCGAGAACACTTGTTTACTGTTGAAGAGGCTGAGGCTTTCTACGAAAATGTTAGACAACAGCCTTATTTTCAAGATCTGGTTGAATTTATGACATCTGGTCCGAGTAAAATTATAGTCTGCGCATTAGGAAAGAAGCAAGGTGTTGTAGAAAAGCTAAGAGGATTGATTGGACCGTCTATTTCTGAAACGGATTCAGAGGAAGTACAAGAAACGTGAGTTAGATTCGCGAAACACTTGAGACTTTTAAAACCTGACTATTTAGATTTGACCCTGTACTTGGGAACTGAAAGAGATTTAACCTGATAACAAGATGATTAGGAGAAAATCTAGTCCACCTACGGAGAACTCTCATACTGGCTCGGATTTACGATGATTCTTAACAAGACGGTGAAAATATGGTGACCATACGTGAGGGTACTGTGTTTTAACTAAGACTAGGTTCGAAAAAATGTACAACAACTGATCATGTTGTACAAAACGCCAAAGTTAATATTGTATAAGACCGTTTCTATCCCCGCTATATCTGGGGCTAGTGATTGCTGGGAAATAATTCTATTCCGTGTAAATATCCCACTGTCTTGCAGTTATGGGAGTTATGTTGTGCTTTTTATGCGAAACTGGCACACTAATTCTCATAATCTGAATTACATCAGATTTTTAAATATAGAAAACCAAGTAAACTGTTTTCTTCGCTATTTTTATAGCGTTCTATAACTGCAGTCACAATGGTTTTTAAAAAACAAATACATTATGAGAATTTTCAGCCTGTATACCAAGGAAGCAAAAAATTACGGCGAAAGATGAGGGTTTTTTAGCATCGTATGTCATTTATTGTAAGAAACTCTCAAACAAAAATGAAATAGGCAATGAGCATCTGAAATCTAACACCGAATAACAATGACTAAAGACTAAAGTCTCATACATTAAGTTACAGGACCAGAAATCAACTAACCAAACATAATTCGTTTTTTTAACCTTTACAGCTTATAATAATTATGAATATTTTATGAAATGAATCAGTATCCTGTTACAGCTCAGGCACTCATTTACGTCATAATAAATAAATCTGCTTTTAGTGGTGAAGTGGAGGTGTTACCTATCAAGCTTATACCCGTTTTTAACCTACAGTAAACTGTAGTGGTTTTAGGTTTGAGTGAGATTTGCACTTACAAAAACAACTCCTCTAGCTTATTGACCAGCCTTAATTTTTGAACAAATGAAATTGCTGTCGTCTATAACAGTTAAAATATACAAAACCTATTCGTTGATTTCAATAAGAAGTCAGTTTAGGATTAAAATATTTTATTTCATTGGCTATTACAAGAGCTTAAGCCTGTTGTATTATTTAAACAAATGACTTCTGATCACAGTTGTTTGAATTAAGTTTTATTCACCACTTAGTTGGTTTATTTAACACTAGCGAAGACTTTCTTTCGTTCGGAGTTTGTTACCTGAATAGAAGGTTTTGTTCTGTAAGGGACCAGATAAACAACTATTCTGAATAATAACTATCGTTCAATCAAATAATATTAATACGGTAAGTCAATATGATATATGCACTAACGTTTTTGAGAAATAAAACCCTATGACACGCTTGGCTTTATTTGGAAGTTTCAGATTCACTAACATTCTTTGAAATGTTTAGTGAGAGATAACTACTGAATTATTGATATTGATAAATGACTTTTTTCTCTCTAGGATTAGGGCTAAATATGGCAGTGGACTGATCAGAAATGCTATCCACGCATCAGGCTCTAAGGAAGAAGCTGCAAGGTATGATATTTAAGCACTTGATTATATGCATAACTAATTAATACTGGTTTTCAACTTCTCCGTTTGAATTGACCCGTAGTCTAGCTTACAAGTCCTTGGGAAAATAAACCAGATTATAAGAAATCTTAAAAACGTTTCATTGATCGCAACGTTTTCATGGGCCAGCTATTAATTTACAAATTTACAAATTCAGCTGCTCCTGTGGAGATAGCTATATCGGGCGTACTACCAGGCAACTTAACCAACGAATAAGCGAACATCTCCCAGCATGGTTTAAGAAGGGTCAGTCAAAAATGATACGCAGTTCGATCTTAGCACGCCTGGTTGATAGTGGTCATATTGTAGATAAGTCTAGATCTTTTCGGGTGATCTATCGTGTACCTCAATCATTTCCCGACGGAGTTCGATCCCGTCTCCTATACATAGCAGAAGCCATAGGAATTCGTCCATTCAACCCCAATTTATGTGTTCAGAAGAAATTCGTGACACCCCTATTTCTTCCGTGGCCAAATATGACGTAACTAACGATTAACATTATATTTTTTTATCTTATTTTATTTTATTTTTACCTATTTGCTTAGTACGTAATGGTTTTGATATTTTTAATGTTTATTTGAAGTCTGTTCATCCACCTTTGACCTACTATTGATAAAACTTTAGTTATCGTATTTTATAACTTTCTTACTACTATCAGTACATCTGTCTTCCTACTATCCACTTGTACTTTTGCCTATTGTATGTAGTGACGTGATCTTTTTCATTTGATTGTGATTATCACTCAAATTGCCTTGATTGGTTTAACATTTTCACATAAATATTCATGTATATTAGAGTAAGGCCTGATGACGATCTAATCGAAAACAATATTGTTTGCTTATATGTGTTGTTCTGAAAGAAAATAACTTATCAATTTTGCAACATTACTGTGTATGCCTACTAAATTTAGTTGGTTATTTAAAGTTATTTTGCTGACAGTTTTGGAGCACCTAACGATAGCTTAATCACTTCTAACAAGAATAATGTATTACTTTTTGTGGTAGCAAAGGTAGTCTGAAGTATTTATATTCCGTATGAGAACTAGTCATATTTAATTCGTACTCTAGTTGTCTCGTATGGACTAGTACTGAATTTTGGAAGAAATACGTGAGTATAAACGAAAGAGTTATGTTTTGAATTGAAACTAGGCACTGAATCATGTATATAACCATGTGTTTAACCATCATAGTAACTTTTTGTTTGCTAACGGTCACTTTGCACGAGACCTTTTACTGACGCTGTGAGAAAGAACATCAGTTTAGTGAGCTCACAGTTTGATGGTGTTATTTTTTATCTAAAACTATCTACTAATTTTTATTTGTATCGTGTGAGATAGTTGGGACCAAATTTCGTTGAAAGCACCATATCTATCATTTTATGAGTAACTTTAGTTTCAAACTCCTAGATGTTGGGAGGATTCTATATCAGAAACTGTATTCGTGATTTCTGACCAACTACTCACATGAAAATCTATCATTTTCCATCGAGTATAGGTAAAGTGATGATGATGGGTCCTTTGCAGTAGTTTCCAGACCGTCTTAAAGAAATAATTTTACAAAACAAATTAGTTGATTCTAATGTCACTGGATGCAGTCCAATATTACCTTTTGAAAAATGTGAACCACTAACAAAAGTATATAATTTCGTTCGATGATTACGTTTTGATTAGAAGGAATGTTTGCATCAAAAATTATCAAACTTTCATTGTGGTTGATTTGCAAACTCTTTAATCGGCTAAGGATATGATTCAGTGCGAAACTTCAACTTGCTTGAATAGATCCTAGGTTTAACTGGAAAGACGTATGAGTATTTTATTTAAAACTGATTACAATTTCATTTTGCAGTAAAATTTATCAGGAATCGATTATCTTAATCTCCTCCCTGCTATGTGCTCCTTATATTAAACTTTGTATCAGTTGACCTCTATGGTCCGTTGACTAAACTGTCAACTGGTCAACTACGAAAAGTATATGTTTTTGAGTTCATTGGACATAAAGGAGAATGATTAACCATTGAAAAAGGGTATAAGTATTCTCTGTCCAAAGTTTGGATTCCAGTCTTCAGACATTTTTGCCAAGGCTGTTCTAGTTGGGTTATTTTAGGCTCCTATAATATTTTCAGTTCAATGGCTGACTGCCTAAAGTATACGCCAAAGAAACACTGGTTTCTTTCAACTGATTTAAGTAATGATAAAAGTAATTTTGTTTATTCATTTTAGTAATTCTGTACTGAGTAAATACGGCCATGACGAAATAGGTTGGCATTCATTGTCCATGCCTTGGTAAACATTGCTTAACACAATAATTCATAAAACAACCTATTCGATTCTCCCATGCAAATATTATTGTCTAGAGTTTTACTGTCTGATCCAAGAAAGTTGTGATATTTCCCCTTATATGCAGTTCCTAATTCCAAATATACAGTGTGCATTTCCAGCTTTAGGTGGTAAAATATTGGTGTCTTCTGGTTTCCTTTAGTTCGTACTTTTTCAGTTGGTGAATGAAAAAACCTTTCGTACATCACCATTGATATTAAAAATGACTGCTTACTTTATTTATTCCCTACTAAGCTAAATTCTTCATAACAGTAGTGTTCATCCTCAAGTTATCTCAATAAATGCTCAATACCAGTCTATACATAAACTGATTATGGATCGTCACGGTGTTTCAAACATTTGGTGACCGAGTTTTGTGTTGAATTTCTAGTCATAACCTTATATTTAATTTTAGTCATACCCGTATGTTTACAAAAATATTATTATGTGATTATCTAAGTATATCTTTATTCAGTTATTTGATATAAAAATATATACTTTCATTTTCGTTTTTTTGCATACTGCGAAAAACAATCGGTTAAAACAAACAAACAAACAGAGAACTAGCGTTCTTCTATCCGGGTTATGAGCCCCCAGTTATAACAGTGAAACGTACCAAACCAGTTACTGTAGAACATGAAGAAACAGTCCATGAGACAGAACAACATGAAATCCAGCGTACAGTTGCAATCTTACGCCCACAAGCTTATGAATCGTGTAAAGATGAAATATTGAAAAAGATTAGAGATGCTGGATTTACCATAGCAGGAGAGAGAGTCATACAGCTGAGTAAAGAACAAGCAGAAGACTATTATAAGGAGCATGTGGGACAACCATATTTTGGAGAATTAACTACTGTGATGTCCAGTGGTCCATGTTTAGCTTTATTATTGGCAAGAGAAGTAAGATCGATATGTTTGTGATTTAAGCAAATAAACTCAGTTATTAGAACTTTCATAATACCCATAGGGGGGCAATTATATTACAGTTATTGAGAACATAAAGTTGTTTTGAAGATAATATTAAGCACCAAATAAAAGACTAGTATAAGTTTATATTTGACTAAATTATGTGACTTTGGTAGTTACAAGAAACATAACATTCATTCCATGAATAATTTTAGAGTCACAGGCTAACACAACCCTCATGTTAGGCAGTTGGAGTCTGTCTGTAGGTTGTGGAATAAATTAATGTTGAGATTCTAGAGAAGTTTTGCTTTTGATTGTATGAAAACAACATGCGAAAATCTAACCATATATCCATTACTCTTGACTCAATCAGCAAGGAAGGAATTTTTCTTCCTAATCTTTGAATATTATTCTGCTAGCTAATCTGGATAGTTTAATTTACTCTCAAAATATAAGGTGAATACCAGCTAACCGTTTTAACTTCGTTAAGAAGTTTTATCAACAATAATACCTATACTACATAATAACTGTTTGCAGTTATAAACCAAATTCCATCCCCCATTATCTCCGCTACCCGGTGAAACTTAATCTAACTAGGGGATCAATAGAATTTATGATCTATTTATATTAATAAATAAATGTTATCTGCTTATTATTGTAACAATTCAAACAGTGTAATGTTGATGTCTTATGGACACTTGAAGAATGATAGTAAACATTTCTGGAAGTTAATGGAGGTAAATAATCACCTATTGGTACAGATGAGTCGTCTTCAAAGAATTGTGGACCAAATTAAGCTTGAATGTCAACAATTTTAACCTAATAACAGCAATCCTCAAGTAACATTTTCAAAGTTTGAAGGATAATTTTATCAGTTTTTTTTCCACACTGTTTATTTCCTTTGATTAATCTCCTCTTAGTGTTGATAAATCAAAATTTCATTTCAAAAGAAAAGTAGGCTGGTAAATAGGCAAAGATTTACTTTAGCATTAGAATGCAATTTGTTATGATAACATTTTAATTCAATTAATTTGGTGAAAACATGAAAGGCTTAAATAGTTCTATTTTTTATTTAATGGTTTATCAACTTACTCTGACCGATAATAGGCTTCCGTTTTTTTTTTTTTAAAGAATATTTGAATTAATAGTTTCCTTTTTACCATATCCACTTGGTAAATTGCAAGCTTCCTTTGTATTATACAGGATGCTGTTTCTAAATGGAGAGAAATGTTAGGGCCAGCAAATGTTGATGAAGCTAAAGCTACAGCTCCTGAATCGTTACGAGCTCAGTTTACAATGAAACCATCAGATAAGAAGGAAAATAGAAACAGTGGAGAAATCAACCTTCTGCATGGATCTGCTAATGAAACTGAAGTGGAAAGAGATATAAATTTATTTTTCCCAGTAGAAGAGACAGTTGCAGTGATTAAACCAGATGCATATGCTAATCGAGATGAAATTATTGAACGAATTAAATCTGCTGGTTTTCATGTGGCAGCACGTAAAGAAACGACTCTTACCAAAGATTTAGCCAGACAATTATATGAAGGATGTTCCGATCAACCGTTCTACGATGACCTAGTTGAGCATATGACCAGGTTTGTTATATTATTTATCATAAAAGTAATTTTCACCATGATAACTTTGGGGCAAATACAGTTTGAGTCGGTCACAGTCTTCATACAATAACAGTTGCCAGTGATGAGAGTGAAATGAAGTCAACGTTTTTCTTAACCTTACTTTAAACCTGAATAAATTGAAAGTCTTAAAATTTTGTGAAAAATTAACGGATAAACAAAAAAATTAATTTAATAGGTATTACTTTTAAATATATTAAGTCGAAAATCACGTAGTTATTTTTTAATTTTTCATAAAGTCTACAAATCCAACTAATAATAGTGCTTAAATGTTCATTAAAAAAAAAAATTCGAAATAAATTTTTTAGGAATCACTTTCATGAAACAGATCCACGAAATGTAAACTGACTGACTGCGAAAACTTTCGAACTATTAAAGTGGGTAATATTATCTTAGTGAGATCATGTTAGTTGGTACAATACTCCATGTGAATTAGTCCGATAATCAGTCAGGATATGGTTTTATGTACTATTGGTAAGAAGTGCCGCTGAACACTGTAGATTAACGGTTTGAAATATATAACGTTAGTATTATATCATGCCACTAAATCCATACACGATAATAAATAAACATAGAAAATCCTAATTTGACATTCTAACTATGAAGTTGTCTATTACTGTATTGACCAATATCATAAATTATATGCTGCACATCCCACCACTTTAGCTTCTACTCCAAGAAAAAAATATACAAGAGTTCAAATTATAGAACACTTTATTTCTATATCTAGTTGGCAATTTCGGAATGGACACAACAATCAGTACCTATTATTATTATTATTATTACCAAATGGCGGTTTTGTAGATATTTTTGAATCTTATGGCTTATGTCGTTAACTGGTCTTAGTTTAACAATAACGGTGGACTATGAAGCAGTGAACAGCTGTTTCCTCCTTGTATGGGGTTCTTCAATAGTACATATCCATGATCTTACTGTGGATCGGAAGGATAACCTTCAGGTCTTCCAATAAGTCATATACTAGAAATGATCAGCTGTCTAGTTCTATCCACGTTTTACTGATGTATATAGATTAGGAGGGAAATGAAACAAAACACTTTGATCGATCAACCGAATTAACAGAGAGACAATAATAATGATAATAACAATAATAATAATGATAAACGTAAAGTTAGGTATTATATTTCCTAACAAAATATTCTGTACAATTTGAAATAACTATTTTCTTTTCGTTTTGACATGCTAGTATTCTTTGAAGAACTTTAGGAGTGTGTTTTGAAGATTTCATTAATTAGATAGTATCTATGAAGAGATTAAGTTCATTTTTAAGGTATTTAGAAAATAAATCTACCTTAACTATCAATAATACCGATATTAAAGTGATTTATAAATAAGTTATTATCGGACCTTCCTCTTTTCTGCCAATATTTTCAAGTTTTCAGTTGTGTTTTTGTTCTCACTCAACTGTAATAATCCTCTTTTAACTTTTATTTCGTTGATACCAGTGACTAACTTCTCATCAAAATTTTATCAGTTCTCTCATGAAGTATTACAATAATTTACCATTTCTTTGATTGGATATTACAGTTCATATATTTATTTACTAATTTCTACTTTTAAGCGTAAAACCAATTGGGGAAAATATATATTTTGGTCGACTCATCTTTTTCTACAGCAAATGGCTTTAGCCTTTAAAATCAACTGAATTCAGCACCTCAATTATTATTTATAAATTAAGTTGCTTATCCAGATAGTCTTCATACTGAGTTATCAGGAAAGCAAGTCTATTCTTCTTAATTAAGTAACTTATTTTAACTGACTGAGAAAAAGCTTCTGCAAGATGTCAGATGAGCTCTAACTCAGTGATCTGAGAATAATTTTATCAACCACTATCGATAACAGTCTGCTTTATCCGTTTTGATTCAGTACTTTAAATTTTATGGTCAGGTTCAACAGAATTCTTATTAAGTACAAAAAATCGAGCCCTTTGCATAGACCACTAAAGTTACGAATACAATTATCTAGGCTGCCTATAATGTGATAGTTTCGTTTTAAACATACCCAAACATTGGCTGTACTGTTTATACGAATATTCGTAACAAAAGAGTAGTAAACAGCTGTTGTTTTTACCTGTTTATGTCTGTAAGGTAATATATCGATTTTCTCTGAGAAAAGTTGATTGATATCCATCTATATCACAAAAAAACTTATGAGATAGTTGAGGAAATATTTTGCTCAGGTACATTGCGGTGTGTACTACTTACAGTGTGGCTTATAAGTGGCGAATATGCAGCGAAGGGTTGCCCTGAAGTCACTACTGAAGAGAAGAGTGTTATATCCGGATGTATTGTGCAATCAGAACGTGCTGAGGAAGAGAAGACATCTGGACCTGCCATCATCGTTCTTCCCTGAGTGATAAGAGTGAACTGTTGCTCCTAGTGATCAAATTGTTCACACGAATATTAAAAGCTCCACCACCACCGACCTAGAGAACCGATTCCCAACATAACACAAAACTTACTGCATTAGATAAGATCAAAGGTCATTTTAGAAACCTAAATTATCCTCAGAATTAAACAGCCTTTAATCATTAGGTTAAGCTTTTCTAAAAAAGACATCAAAAGACTTGTAGTCTTACAGCACTATTTAACCAACTAACGCTGACAAATTTACAAAAACGGCTTTTTATCGGGCTTATTAACTTATTTTATCCGTAGTCATTTTTTTTAAATAAGTGGTCTGTTGATTACTTTTGAATACAGTGGACAAACTTTATTCATGGTTTTGACAAAAAGCGATGCAATTGCCGGTTGGCGTCAACTGATGGGACCAATCGATCCGAACAAAGCTTCCGGCGAATCATCAGAAAGGTATTATTATGAAATTCATTTATTTACTTTAAACACGTTAAAACTTCTAAGAACAATTATTGATGGACTCATCCACTTTTTAATGAATGATCTAAATTTATATGACTTAAAGCACTCGATCACTGATTACGGTAACCAGGAAGCCTAAATGCCTGTTCATGACTTGAAGCGAAAGTCATTGATCTTATGACCTGATACAATATCCTTATTTGGAAAATGTTGACTGTACTCTAACGTAAACACACGTGAGTGAGAATTACACTATTGATAAACGGATCAAAACCATTTCGAAGTAAACTATCGATTAGTACATACATCTTATTATTTGGATAATGTAACATGAAAGCATAGTTGCATTTGTAGTTAGTGTCGATGCTCTTCTTATTATTAACTAACTAAGAAGTAAGTCTACTAACAATCAATAAACCAAATGCTAGAGTTCAGTTTCATGAAGTTGAAAGAGATTAAGTTCAGTTTGAATAGATTATCAATCACTCAGAAACTAAAGAAAAGCTTTTTTTGTGTTGTTGGCCTTTTAAATTCCATCTAGAAAAGATCATAACATCTATGTGAAATATTTCCATTGACACTTCAATTTATTTTTAAAAACATAGTTTGTAAATTTTCGTCAGTTTTTTTTTGCACTTTACAAAGAGCTAAATTTTGTAGACCTATTAGAATTTGTTGAAAAGTCTAAGAGTATGCTCTGTCTAACTGGTTTTAAATTTCATGAAGAAAATAACCGATGTTATTTAATTTTTATCTTCTTAGTATTCGTGCAATTTATGGTAGAGATATTCTTCGCAATGCTGTTCATGGAGCATCTAATAAAGACGATGTTCAACGTGCTCAAAGCTTGGTATTCCATGGTACTAAAGCTGGTGAAGCAAAACGTAAGTGAATTATTAAAAATGTGTAAAAGTATGTAATTGGTAATAGTATTTCTCTAATCGAATGTCTGCACCATGAATCCCAACATCTGTTCAAATCATATTCTAATAGCAACGAATAAACCAACATTCGATGAGATTGAAACGATTATGTACACACATTGATATAATCTAAAATATAATTAGAATTAGGCTAAAAGCAATGTACAAAACGTTTACTTCTATAGAAGATCTAAACACTAGTAAATAGTAATGCAATGCATTACAGAACCAGGATTTCTGTTAGTACAACATAAATAATGAGTTTAGGAATACAATTTACCAAAATCATAATGATAATAGCTTGCACGACATAATATTTGATTTCATTTGCCAGCGTGATAAGGTTGGCAGTTTAGTTATGATGATCTTAAAATCGAGATATGTGAGACAAAAAATTTGTTATCACGCCGTCTCAATATAAGTGGAATGAATGGTGATTAGATCAGAATAAGTAGATTAAGAATGAACGGAGTTCTACCACCAGTTGTAATGGAGTATGGTATTTCCAGAAGATAGCTGGTATTTTCAGTAATGCTAAACTCCACAGAAGCAGCGGGTTTCAAAAACATTCTACTCTGTGGGTTGAACGGACGTTTAGACCGATCATAAGACTCGGTCAAATAGGCATCTTATACTTGCACAGAATTATTATCTGTAGCCTTCGCAAACTGCTCTCCAACAATGGATGTCACAAGACGAGAATTCAAAACTCCCCTATGTGAAATTTTTCACTCCAGACGATGAAGTGAGGCTGCTTACATCTATGCTGCATTTCTATATTATTTATGATTGATGCAATAAGCTGCAAACCCCCATCCTGTTCTGGTGCATCAAGTGAATTGTGAAAACCACAAGAAGATGATTTGGGAATTACATGGTTATATTGGTGAATTATCCATCTGATTAAGTCATTGCTATTACACTGATCGAAACTCACTCATTCGGTAACATAATTGGACTATGCTAAATACTGACATAAAAGCCACCGATAAATGCTTGAATTTTAAATGTCATACCGAAAAGTAGGTAAAATGGGTCACTCTGCTTATTCTTTCAGGAGAATAATATTGACCAACCATATTTTAGTAATTGCTCGTGATTCTTTGTTTATTTCACGACATCCGTCAATTCAATAGATAGATTAAAAATTAGAGATGCCATCTCCAGTTTTCTGATTTACACACCTGTGAAATTAGACTCATTCTTACGAGAAACGATTAGCCATTCACATCTGTTTATACATTATTCTCTAAAGTGTTCACGTTTACCTAACTCCTTGATTTTAATATCACGTTGATAAAATGTTCTAATGCAAAGTGAGTAATTGCATATTTTTCCCAATCCATAATCATGTAAATTACTGCCACTTAACTGATTCATTTAGTGAATGTATTATTTAGACTGTGGTAATCTTTCTGTCTTTTATTCAGAAACAGTATCATCAAGAAGTAGTAGACAAGGTTAGTAAATGATTTTTATTCGCTACTGAAATGCTGAATTTTCATTGGTCATTCCTATAAATTTTGAAGTGTGTGACGATATGAATTTTTATGAAATATTTTGACTGTTTCGAAATTCCCCGTTTATTGAAATTTTTAATATATGAGTATCTAATTAGTCACATAATTCAGTAGCGAACACTGCATATATTTCATGTTCTCATTTCTGTAAGGATTCACTGTTATCAAGCAAATCATAGAGAAAACTGAGAAGATAGTAATTCTATGTATGATTTGAGGTTTGGATGAGTCGAACATATCTTGTCTTCTGACATTTACAAAGTAGTTTGAGAGTGGTAGTACATGTCGTATAGTTCTTGAATATCTGTGAAATGAACCACTCTTTTCCATTCACTTTTTGGAAGATGACTGTTGATCACACTATCTCACAGATGTAAATAATCAAGATTTCATTCATGCGTTTCGTGAAGATTCATTCAAAGTAACGAGGTTCTGCATCATGAACTTTCACCTGATGGTAAACCTTGAGCTCATAGTCAGTGAGTGGTGTGATAGTATCACTCTAGACTAGTACTTATCGGTTTCGAATATATGTACTGCTATGAGTGTACATTGAAGACCATTCCAAACTGTGATACAAACTATGATAATCACGACCGTCTGCTGCAAATATGCCCATATAAACATCTATTTAATGGAAATACAAAATTTCAGGCATGAGGAAAAACAATTTTCGACACGGCGACCCCAAAATGCACCCAACAATCGACCCAACCAGACCACATCGCTATCAGCCACCGATTGAGAGGCTCCATAGAAGACTGCGGCTCGTTCTGGAGCCATGTTTACATTCAGATCATGCTCTAGTACCATCGCGCATTTGTCTGCGTCTTGATGGACGCAGGAAGGACACAACAAGGAAACCCTTCAGAGTTCTGCTTGACGATATCAAAGGCGAGAGTACGTTTCAGGAACAACTAGAAAAACAGTGAGTCAGCGACGTAAGTGATGCCTATACCGGGGAAACTTGGAATAATATCCGAAACGATGTGGAAACAGCAGTCGCATCAGTCAGTAAGGTAAACCATAAGATTGGGAGGAAACGGTGGATATCACTGGCATCAACTGAACTGATAGATGCTTGGATTCTCACACTGTCTGGCTCTGAACATCATGCAGAGTGGAGTCAGCATAAGCGCAGGCTGATAAGAAGCCTACTCAATGATCGCGAACATTGGTGAGTAGCGAAAGCGAGGGAGATAGAAAAGACAGCAGCTCTAGGTGAGAGTGGACAACTATTGACACCTAGCAAGGAAAGTGATATTGGGAATCCGACTGCTAGCCAGACTCTCTCGCAAAATGATGGGACTGTTATTGACTCCTAATCCAGGAGACTGGATCGATGGGCATAACACTTCAGGTAGTGTTCCAGCTGGCCTTCAGCCACACTCCGGTTGCCCATCATCTTCAGTCGACCTGAATGTCATGTTGATGTTAGCTTTCCAACTCCTAATGAGGTTGGAAAGGGTATACTCGATCTAAGGTGAGGCAAAGCAGCAGAAACTGATGGATTGACCAATGAGTTTTGTAAGGATGTTTGCCAGGTTTTGTCAGTGAGATCGACTGAGATTTTAGTTAGAATCTCCGAACTGTACATAATCCCATCTGGCTGGTGCCAATCACTGATTGTTCCAATCTGTGCGAAAGGACAGAAGGCCTTTTGTGAAACCAGAGAGGAATCAGTTTAACTAATATACTGTCTAAAAGATTAGCTTCAAAAATACTTCGATGCTGAACTAGGGCTCGTGAAGAGCAGACTCGATAAAACCAGACTGGTTTCAGACTCGGATGAAATTTTTCATAAATGAGTATATAATTGGTCACATAATTCAGTAGAGAACACTGCATATATTTCATGTTCTCATTTCTGTAAGGATTCACTATTGTCAAGCAAATTATAGAGAAAACTGAGAAGATAGTAATTCTATGTGTGATTTGAGGTTTGGATGAGTCGAACATATCTTGTCTTCTGACATTTACAAAGTAGTTTGAGAGTGGTAGTACAAGCAATATAGTTCTTCAACATCTATGAAATGAACCACTATTTTTCATTCACTTTCCATTCAATTGGAACTCCAAACGATATCAGTTCATATAGTATATTATTTATTGTATAAAATCTTACATCCAAATGCCATCTGAATCAAGCTGTGCTCTACTATCGAGATATTTATGATGATGCTAGTTGTCTTACGTGCACTTGAAATGCAATAACAGATAATTTAATGTCATTTATTGAAAAAGTAATCTATCTGCCTTAATTTGATCGACTTCAAGTGTTAGAGATACTGTTGTCTGTTGACATCTGATTTTCTTGTGTACTTCTATTTTACAAAGGATTTGAATAAATTCCTAAAGATTTGAACGTTTTCACTTGCATTTAATAATCTTTCAAAGTAGACAGAAACCCATAGTTCATGAGCTTACGTGTTAAATATTTCTATTGACTCAACTACAGTTTCACCAACGCTGTTTACTATATAACCCAAAACTATCGATTGCACACACAATATTCTCACTCGTTCCCGAAACTTTCTATCGAAGCAGCACGATGCACAATTTAGCTGTCTGTATCATTCTACACTGTGCAGAGTTACTTATACATAAAGTAAATGAATATGACGCAGCATAAATAATTAATAAACTGCAATATCTACACTGTAACAACGTTTTAAGGTAGTAGACTAAGCTGCAGAGTTATTATGATCACCATACTCATAATTGACAAACAATAAAAGGTGTTGTGCAACAGTGTGAATAAACAAAATGAAAGCTTGATATTAAAATTTGATAAACACCGTGGATTTTCAATAAAGATACATAACATGAATTCGCAGAGAATGACTTCCAAAGTTTCATATACTCATCTCTTCTCGGTAATATGAATAAAGAGTCTTCAAGCTTCATGAAGTAAAGATTGTTGGTGTATTTCTTGAATTATTAAAGTCTATTAAAAATAAACTGACAATATCACACAACAATTCTACATCATCTGTCTGTTATTGGTTGGTTTATTTCTAACAAATACTTAACAGAACATAAGCGATAGTATTTCAGTGAACATCACTACAAGAATAATAATGGTAATAAGGAATAAACTAAAAACCAGACAAATTTCCTTACCTTGATTGAGTAGTGATAAGAAAATGACGTCTACAGAAGCCAATGCTTTCACGATGCGCATTATGTTGTTATGAGTTGAAACTTAAGTTTCACTTTTAGGCATACGACAATTCTTCTTTGTTGTATTGATGTACTTACAAGTGATTGAATTGGTTATTTTTCTTAAGGTTCAATCAATGAAGAGATGGGTGATGAAAAAGGTTAGTTTGACAGCAATATCTGAGATAATAATCATAATCATCATAATAATAATACAATTTATTCCATTGTAACAGTTTATCAAACATTATGGTATTTAACGACACTAACTCATTGAAGAAGTATCAATGACAATTGAGCGAAGAGAATTTTCTTTTCGATGATATCACTTAGTCAAGTTGTACAATGATATTTCTAGTTAATTAACAAATGAAACGGTTTATTCAGAAATCGGAAAACAATTACATTACGGCAATTAGTTATGGTTAATAAATTCATTGTTCTTATGATAATTTCTGAGGAATATCATCTGTCTCATTGATGAATACCATTGCATTAGCAAATATAACCTGATTATGTTGTTCACTGTAAGATTAATCAGTTACATTCAACGAATATAATAGCATAGAATCATAATTCTTTTAACTATTTCTATCATGATATCATTCTGAGTAGGATTAACAAGCCTTTAAATCATTAACAATATAATTTGCTTTATTATTTATTCATTCAGCTCAATCGAATTCAATTAGAGAAGAACAAGGTAGGCATTGTTTACTTTGCAACTTATTTACACATTGATTGTCATTTATATAAACCTCTAATGAAATGTGTTTTCGAATGCAATAATGGTGTTTTTCTCACAAGTGTACACAGCAAGTTGATGAAGATTACATAGTCATCAACATAACGATGTTACGTGAAGGATATTTTACAGAATTCACGATTTCTCGACAAGAAGACGTGACTTATGGAGTAGAGCATTGAGGATAGACATTAGCTGTAGCAGTGGACGGTGGTTTGGCGAGGAAACTTCCTCAAACCTCTTCCAGAGTCATTCATAAGTTTCCATCGATATTTGCGATCTGCACGCGCTTATATTTCATACCTACTGAAGACTGTAGAAAATCATTGTGAACACGTTTTCTATCCTCATTCATTTCTAGTTGTACTTTAATTGACTTTCATTTAGTTCGTCAATTAAGTTATTTGTAAACAATTTTATTCCTATTCGATGTAACACATTATACAATTTCAATAATATTGGCTTAGATAGTTACGTGCATAGTTTACACGAGCTTAAGTGAGTTAGAAGCAGGTAAGGTCTTTAAAAGTGATGCATTCAAAAACATGTTCAAATAGGAAATAAATCGAGCATAAAACACAAGTAGTTAAGTGTGTGCGTACATCGGTTGTTTTGATCATCATCTATGCGTATGTTATTGAATGCAAAATAATCAGTTTCAATGAACGTTGCATGTTTCGGTTTTTACCATTGAATTTTTTAAAATTTTCATATTTTCTTTAAACATATGTGTACATGTGTTTATAAAAGAACCAATACTACAATCTGACCAACGTGTAGTTATGGGTAAGGCACTGTTAGTAATTTGTGCACAAGCCAAATATTGAAGTGTAGATTTTTTGTATAATTACACGCCTGTGGATTATTTTGTGTGTAAGTGTAAATGTTTTAGTGTATATTCCTGTGGTTAGATTTGTGCCAGCGTATGTGTGTTCAAACAATTATTAAAACTCAATTATGGTAGTTTCTAGACTCAGAGTATTTTTCCTCTATTTTGTATCGAATTTTTCCAACTTTAGAAGCAGAATCAGCTAGATCACAAGAAAATGAACAAATAAAAGGTGACATTTGTTTTCTTTTAAAGTGTTTACTCGCATAAATATACCGATCATCATAATCATCATCATCACCGTCATCAGTAGCAGCACCGATCTGTTCAATCGAACAGAAAGTCCACTAATATTCCGGCGACATTAGAATGGGAGAATGCTTAGCAAAAGTAAAACAATTTCATGAGAAACAAAATAATAGATATTGCAAACAGTTATCCTCAACTAATAGGAATGATAATATTATTACCAGTAGTAGTGGTAAAAATAATCCATTTTTAAACAATCATAATAATGATACTTACCTCCGCCTGTCACTCGCAATGTAGCATAGGCCACCCACCAGCATTCTCCAGCCTGCTCTGTCCTCAGCCTTCTTCTCCACTCACATCCAGTTGCTGTGCATTCTTTTCACGTGTGCTTCAAATTCTCTCCACACAGTCAGTGTTCTCTGGTCTTTCTCCTCAACTTCGACCTTGAAGATTGCAATTGAGAGCCTGTCATGTGTTGATGGATGGGGTTGAGTGCTTTACTCAATGTTTATCCTTTCATCCACCTCCACTAGTTCTTCCTGATTTCTTGGTCTGATGCAATGTGGTTTGTTCTCTGTCACAGTAGGGGTTGTTGATGATGGTGTGACTAGCGTATCCGAAGTGTCATTCGTACTTAACTGTACATGGAGGACTGTATGTTCCGGATGGTGGCTTTTGTGGTACTCGAAGTTTGCGGTCGATACAACAGAAGTATCTTTACTTTCATATTGCAAATTGTGACTTAGGTGCTTGTTGACATGCGGTTGTTTTTAGTCGCTGACATTCTTCAATTGTAGAAATGCTGCCCTTGCTTTGATGCTATGGTTTCAACTATATTGGTCGTCTTCTCTTGAATCTGTTTCTGAGTGTTGGATTGAAGAGCCAGATCATGTGCGATGTCAAGATGGTCGAGCTGCATGTCGGCTGTTCAGTGAATCCTATTCTTCTCACAAATTTTGTCATCGTCATAATGCAGTCGATCAACAGGAGAGAGGGTAATGGTGATCGTAAACAAACTAGACTGACACCCATCTTCACTTGGAACGAGTCTGTGAGATTTCCTCCACTCACGATTTCGCAGTAGAATCCATCATAGGAATTCTGTATTATGTTGAGCACGTCTCAGGCACTCAGTGATGTCGACAAAGACTGCATAGTGACATCGTGTCCACGCTATCAAATGCTTACTCGTAGTCAATGAAGTTGATGTGGAGTGGTGAATTTCATTCAAAAGATTGTTACACGATGATTTGCAGTGTCGTGATTTGGTCGGTAAATGATCGGTCCTTATAGAATATAGACCGACGATCTGTAAGATGAGTGTCTGTGGAATCCTACATTCTGTTTAACATTATTCTGTTGAAGACGTTCGCTGATACGGATGGTAGAGTGATGTTCTCGTGGTTCACAAAATTATGGAGATTCAATAATCAATATATATATCTTAATCCGTATATATACATATCTCTACAGGCAAATATACGATAAAGAGTGTGAATTTAGTCTGATCATTACAATAATTGAATTTGTTTAGCAGTAGTGATGCATGTCTTCAAAATACAAAATATACTCATTTAGTGGACAGTCGATCAGAAATTCACATTTGTTTGTACAATATTCTCTATAATGTTCACGTTTTCCTAACTCCTTGATTTTAATATCACGTTGATAAAATGTTCTAATGCAAAGTGAGTAATTGCATATGTTTCCCAATCCATAATCATGTAAATTACTGTCACTTAACTGATTTATTTAGTGAATGTATTATTTAGATTGTGGTAATCTTTCTGTCTTTTATTCAGAAACAGTATCATCAAGAAGTAGTAGACAAGGTTAGTCAATGACTTTTTCGCTACTGAAATGCTGAATTTTCAGTGGTCACTCCTAAATACTTCAAAGTGTGTTACGACATGATTTCTTATGAAATATTTTGACTGTTTCGAAATTATACTATTGCTTGAATATGCTGATATTAGTATTTAATTACTCATGTCATTCAGTCAATCAATCAGTCTGTAGGAACGTTGAGCTTTCTGCGGATATACGAACATCAGTTGATGCTGCCATACCACGTTAGCACGGAGATGTAATTTTGAATTCAAATCCCATAGCAGTATAGGTAGTAAAAGTATTAACTGTAATCGGAGAGATTAGGGTTTGTTGATATTATTCAAAACGTATAATTCAGTAATTTAAATTTAGAAAGAGAAAGATAGATGTGATGAGGAATTCAGAATGTTAGAATTTCATATTACACAAAGATTAAATGCGCCTGCGCAATTGCAAACGGTTCTCAGTAATGTCACTCAGGATCACTATCGATCGATTATTATCATCCCGCGGACCTCAACGGGCTAGTCGACACCTATCGACATGACTCAGTCCACTTTTCATTGGTTTCATGGATTTCTGTCATGTTTTGGTCTTGCCGCCCTAGCTTTCGTCCAACCTATTCCTACGTCGCAAAACATAACTCGACGAGGCAGTCGGCGATTGGGCATGCTCAACACATGTCCAAACCACCTCTATTGATGAAGTTTCAATACTTTATCTATTGACCTGCCATCCTTGCCTAGCACCGATTTCCTGATACAGCACTTATTACTCAGTTGTCCCATGATACTCGAGCAATGCTTCGCAGACACCTGTGATCGAAAACCAGCAGCCTACGAATATCTTCTAATCTTAGCGGCCATGTTCCACAGACATATGGTAGGACGGAGCGAAGTGTTGCGCAGTACACTCGTCCTTTGGTCAGCAAACAGATATCTCACCTACGCCAAAAGTGACGCAAGTTGACAAAATCCAATCGAACTTTCTGTATCCGTGCCGAGATTTCGATCATCACCTGGCCGTCGGCACTGACGAGACTGGCGAGATAAGTGAAGCGGTCGACACGCTCAACTGCTTCACTCACTATCACTAGTTCAGGTGTCGACCCAACCCGATCTTGAAACAAAATTTTGCATTTCGAGGGTGAAATCCGCATCCCGAACGTGCTTGCATTGTTGCTTAGGGTAGTTAGAAGACTCTGCATTTTGTCAGCTTCTTCACGAATTAGAACCATGTTATCGTCATATTCTAGGTCAACAAGCGATTTTCCTGGTAGAAGGCCCACTCCTGAAAATTCAGAGGATGATAATATTATATCTAGCAGCATGTCTATGAAGAAATAAACATTAATGAGGAAAGTGGACATCCCTGGTGGACACCACTTGAAGTAACTAATTCCGACGACAGGTCGCCATAAGCTCTCACTCGATCAGTAGTGTTCGAGTACAGAGCTTGTATAAGGTTAATGTACCTGTCTGATACACTTTGTAATGACACACACTACCACAGAGCCTCACGATCAACAGAGTCAAATGCCGCCTTTAGGTTCAGGAAGACAACTATTTTCGGACGCCTATATGTGTGTCTGTGTTCCACGCCCTTATGTAGTGTGAAAATGTGGTCTGTATAGCCACGTCCAGGTCTGAAACCAACCTGATTTTCTCTAGTCTGCTCTTCGCGAGCTCTAGTTAGGCGTCTAGGGATAACTGATGCTAACAACGTAGAAATTATAATAGTAAGACTGATTTCTTTCGTGACTGTCACAAGAAGATTTTGTCCTTTCTTATAAGTTGGGACAATCAGGTATTGAGATCAGTCAGATGGGATTACGCCTAGTTCCTATGAATTCAACCCATGACCACAGTCAACATAACCGCCGAGATTGCACCACCATCCTTAAAACTCTCAGGGGTGAATCGATCAGGACCCGCTGCCCGCCCCCTCTCCATATTTCTTATCGCTTTCTCAACTTTATAAACAGTCGGACAACTTACAACGATCTGTTATTCAGGATGACCGGGGATCGTGTGCAGCCGAAATGTTTCTTAGGGACAATTGAACTGATCACCAAAGTGTTCTACCTATCGATTCAATCTCCTGGATTGAGAATGAATGATACAGCTATCCTCTTCTGAGATAGTTTCGCTTACAGATGGATTTCTTTAAAAAGTTTCTTTGATGAATCTGAATAGTTGCCTATCGCTGCTGCCTTTTCCAACTCTCTCGCTTCCACTGCCCACCACTGTTCGTGGTGGTTGCGTAAGCTTTTTGTCAGCCTGCGTCTGAACTGACTTCGCTCCTCATAGCACTCAGAGCCAGGTGAGATGAGCTTTCGAGCATCCATTAGTTCCGTAGATGTTACTGAAATCTACGGCTTCTCCCCAGCCTTATGGTTTACCTTACTAGCAGATATCATTGCTGTTTCCATAGTTTGTTAAACATCGTTCCAAGCGGCCTCAGGGTGATCATCACTTACTACATGGCGGCCTAACTGTTTTTCTAGTTGTTCCTGAAATATATTCTTAGCTTTATTATCATTATGTAGAGCCCTAAGCAGTGTCCTTGCGATATTTCTCATACGACCGGTGAGACGCAAACAAATACGCGCTCGCACTAGGGCATGATCTATATCTAAACATGTGTTCCAGAATGAGCGGCAGTCTTCAAAAGAGCCTCTCTATGGATGGCTCATAGCTATGTGATCTAGTTGGGTCAATCGTTTGGTCGGATTTAGGGGTCGTCAAGTCAAAAGATGTTCTTCCTTATGCTTAAAGTTAGTGTTTGCTAGGAATGGGTAATTATCTGAGTATAGCTGTAGCAGACAGTCGCCATTATCTGTTGTATTAGCCGCGACACCATAAGATCCACCCACGTGTTTGTCCTTTTCGCTGAGTCTAACCACTTCAGAATTGAAGTCACAAGCCATCATTACTATATCAGAGCGCCTAACGTTTTGGAGGTGGTGCGAAAACTTTCTGTCAAACTTATCTTCCATGTCGTCTGAACAGCAGTCATTGGGAGTGTAGGCAGATAAGACGAAGAGGCGACGGCGATTGTCCTTAATTTTCAAGTCTGTAAATACGCCAGCAAGGCAAAGTGATGACGTACCAGGGCTACCTCGAACATACAGTGTGCACTGTTTAGTGTATCTATCTGCATTAGGTGATTTTATTCCGCCTTCGTATGCGCGATTTGGAGTCGAAACTGACATTGAGAGCCTAATAGAAGTCCAGCTGGACCTCAGCCACAAGCTGGTTGCCCATCATCTTCAGTCGACCTGAATGTCATTTTGATGTTACCTTCATAACTCCTAATGAGGTTGGAAAGGGTATACTCGATCTAAGGTGAGGCAAAGCAGCAGAAACTGATGGATTGACCAATGAGTTTTGTAAGGATGTTTGCCAGGTTTTGTCAGTGAGATCGACTGAGATTTTAGTTAGAATCTCCGAACTGTACATAATCCCATCTGGCTGGTGCCAATCACTGATTGTTCCAATCTGTGCGAAAGGACAGAAGGCCTTTTGTGAAACCAGAGAGGAATCAGTTTAACTAATATACTGTCTAAAATATTAGCTTCAAAAATACTTCGACGCTGAACTAGGGCTCGTGAAGAGCAGACTCGATAAAACCAGACTGGTTTCAGACTCGGATGTTGATGCATGGACTACATATTCACACTAACACAGGTCATGGAACACAGACACACATTTATGCATCTGAAGACAGTTGTATTCCTGAACCTGATTGGAAGTTTCGACTCTGTGTATTGTGAAGTTCAGTGTGAATGTCGGTCACTGAAAGGTGTAACAGATATGTACATTAACCTAATAAAATCTATCTAATCGAACACATTTGTAAGTGTCTGATGTTATGGCGAACTGTCATCAGAATTCTTTACTCCAAGTGCTATCCATGAGGAATATCCACTTTCTCCATTGTTCTTCTTTAATTTTTCCAAAAACGTGCTTCCAGATATAATATCATCAGGAGCGGCCTTTCCACCAGGAAAATCGCTTGTTGACCTTAAAAATTACGCCGATGCCCTATTTCGACATTGTGAAGATGCTGACAAAATGCAGAGTCTAGTGACCACCTTAAGCAACAACGAATTCATGTTCAGGCTGCGGTTTTTCTCCTCTAAATGAATATCGTTGCTTCCAGACTGGCTTGCGTAGACACCTGAACTAGTTTTAGGAATCCAAGCAGTGGAGCGTGTTGGCTGCTTCACTTCTGTCACGAGAATCATCAGTGAAAATGGCTTGGTGTAGGATTATTTCGATAATTGAATTTCTGTTGCACTAGTTAAGCATGCCTTCAAAACACAAACCGTACTCATTTAGTGGACAGTCGATCAGAAATTCACATTTGTTTGTACATAGTTCTCTAAAGTGTTCACGTTTACCTAACTCCTTGATTTTAATATCACGTTGATAAAATGTTCTAATGCAAAGTGAGTAATTGCATATGTTTCCCAATCCATAATCATGTAAATTACTGTCACTTAACTGATTCATTTAGTGAATGTATTATTTAGATTGTGGTAATCTTTCTGTCTTTTATTCAGAAACAGTATCATCAAGAAGTAGTAGACAAGGTTAGTAAATGATTCTTTTCGCTACTGAAATGCTGAATTTTCAGTGGTCACTCCTAAATACTTCAAAGTGTGTAATTGCATAATTGCATATCGTGCATATCTTTACTATTCCAAAATCATGTAGATCACCGTCACCAAACCGATTCATTTCTGTCTTTTATTTAGGAACGCCTTCGTCAAAAGGTAGTAGACAAGGTTAGTAAATAAAGTCTGTGACGATATGATTTCTTATGAAATATTTTTACAGTTTCGTAATTCCTAGTATATTGGAACAGTGATTAACTTACTTACTTACTTACTTACGTCTGTTACCACCAATCGAACATTGTCCGCCTACCAGTCTTCTCTAACCAACTCACTCCTAGGCTTCCCTTTCCAGTTCTTTCCATTTTTTGTTCATTCTTCTCATATCTTTCCTATTTCTCGGCGTAATGTGTTCCTTGGCCTTCCTCTTTTCCTTTAACCTTGAAGGTTCCAAGAGAATATTTATCTTGTGACGGAGTGTGGTGCTTTTCGCAGTGTGTGTCATATCCACTTCCACCATTTTTTCCTGATTTCCTCCTTCACTGGAATCTGGTTTTTCCTCTTCCACAGTACATTGTTGCCGATGGTGTCCGGCCAACGAATCCGAAGTATTGTGTGTAGACAAGTGTTCATAAATACTTGTATCTCCTGGATGATGGATTGGTAGTTCTCAAGGTTTCGGCTCCACACAGTAGATCTGTCTTGACATTTCTATTGAAAATCCTGATTTTGGTTCTGGTTGAAAGTTGTTTGGAGTTACAGATGTTGTTCACTTGTAGAAATGCAGCACTTGCTTTTCCAATCCGCACCTTTACATCTACATTGGATCCATCTAGATTAATGATGATGCTGCTAAGATATGTAAAGGTGTTCACGTCCTACAAGAATCTCCAGATCGTCCAGCTGCGTCCTAGCTCTGTCCATCGGATACCGTGCTTCTCTCCATGCTTGGTGGGACAACTGCTAATGTTAGTTGTTTGAACCAATCTGACTGATTATGTTTAGATCGGCCATCGGATTGAGCCGAAGTGAGGTGGGCTAGATGTAGCAGGGGGCACAGCTACTCTGGTTAGTTGACAGTTACAATACATAACATCAGAATGACTTGATCCACCATTGTAGTGTCACGATGCAGCTTGGTATCCATCAACATTTTCTTCAGTTCAGCTGCTGCTCGGGTAATAATATACTAATAGTGAGCAACCTTGGCTGACACCGGTCTTCAACTCAAACGAGTATGTCATCTTACCTCCGTGCACGATTTTTCAGTTTTATACATCATAACAACTCCGTATGATGTTAACTATTTTCTCAGGCACACCGTAGTGTCGAAGAAGCCTCCACAGTGTTTTCCTGTCCACGCTATCGAATGTTTTGTCATATTCGATGAAGTTGATGTAGTGTAGTGCGTTTAATTCAATTGATTGTTACATAATGTTCCGTAATGTTGCAATTTGGTCGGTACACGATCGATTCTTACGAAATCCAGACTGTTGGTCTCGAAGTTGGGCGTCTGCGAAGTCTTTCATTCTGTTTAACAATACCCTGTTGAAGACTTTGTCTGGTATTGAGAGAAGACTGATGCCTGTGTAGTTCTCACACTTGCTGAGATTGCTTATCTTTGGTACTTTGATCAGGCATCCTCCTTTCCAATCTGATGGGACCTGTTCCTCATCCCAAATCTTCTTGAGGAGAATTTGAAATACTTTCGCAGTTGCTTCAACGTCTGCTTTCATTGCCTCTGCTGGAATGTTGTCTGGTCCTGCTACTTGGCCGCTCGTGATTTGTCTGATGGCCATGCTGATCTCTTCAATTGTAGGTGCGCCAATATTAATTGGGAGGTCCGTGGATGCTGCTTCGATGTCTTGTGGGTTCAGTGGAGTTGGTCGATCAAAGAGTTCCTTAAATTGCTCTACCCACCTATTTTGCTGTTCTTCAATGTTGTTTATTACTTTGCCTTCCATGATTTTCACTGGTCGTTCTGGCTTACGATAGTTTCCGGCGAGCTTCTTTGTTGTTTCGTACAATTGTCTCATGTATCTTCCTCTTGCAGACTTTTCCGACATCATTGCTAGATCTCACACATATTTATGTTTTTCGACTCTGATGCTCTTCTTCACTTTCCTGTTTGCTTCTGTGTATTCAGCATGTGCCCTAAATTTCTGTGCTCTTGTTCGGCTGACATTGATTGCTGCCCTCTTGTCCCTCCTTTCTTCGATTCTTTCAAGAGTACCAACACAGATCCACTCCTTGTGATGGTGCTTCTTTTGACCAAGAACTTCGTGACATGTTGAAGTGATTGCCTCCTTCATCCCTTTCCAATCGTTCTCCAAATGTTGCATCCTCTGCATTGGGTAAATCGTGCAAGGCCTGGTACTTATTGCTGAGGGTTATCTTGAATTTGTTGAGTTTTACGGTATCCCGAAGAAAGGCTGTATTAAACTTGTGTAATGTTGTCTGCCTCGTTGTCCAGTGCTTTTTTAGTTTCAGTCTCATTTTGGCGACCAGCAAATGTTGATCTGAGGCTATGTTAGCTGCTGTCTTGGTTCTCACATCCTCCATGGTCCTCCTGGAATTTTCGTTGATACAGGTATGGTCGATTTGGTACTGATTAGTGTGGTCCGGTGAAAACCATATAGCTTTGTGTATGCGTTTGTGCGGGAATATTGTGCCACCGATGACCAGTTTGTTGAAGGCACACAGGTTTGCAAATCTCTCACCGTTTCCGTCCCTTTCTCCCAGTCCATGTCGTTCCATGATGTCTTCATATCCAGTGTTGTCCATGCCAACTTTGAAATTTAGGTCTCCCAATAAAATCATCAAATCCTTTGGTGAGCATCTGTCGACGATTGACTGCAACCTTTCGTATAATTGATCTTAAACGTTGTCATTGTAGTCATTGGTTGGTGCATAACATTGGATGAGGTTCATTGTAATGTCCGATTTCTTTGTTTTGAGGGATGCTTTATTGATCCTGGGTCCATGAGATTCCCATCCTATTAGTGACTCCTTGTGTATGTGAAGCATTTTCCTCTTCATGACCAGAGTATAACAGCAGTTTCCCTGAGGCTAGTCTCAGTTGTCCTACTTGTGTCCAATGCGTTTCACTGATGCCGAGCACTTCGAGGTTGTATCTTTTCATTTCTGCCGCAACTTGAAACAGTCTTCCAGTCTCCTACAATGTACGAACGTTCCATATACCTAAGAGAACGGTTGCTCTGGTTGTCAGAAGAGGCAATGACCTCATGACTTCCGAGGAACTCGGCTTTCATCACGCGACGTCATGATTGTTCTTCCAACTCCCAGGGCAGAGCTAAAATAGTTTGAATTATTTTTTCTGGTTAGCGTTTTTTTGGCAAGTTAATTTTTTGGTGGGATGGGGTCGCCGACCAAATAGACAACCCTCCTTCTTTATCCTGGCTTCTGACCGCCAGTAGCTCATAGGTTCTACAGGCAGAGTTATAATTTTATTATATGGGTATTTGATTATTCATAAAATTTGGTAGCGAACACTGCAAATATTTCATATTCTCATTTCTGCAATGATTCACTGCTGTCAAGCAAATCATAGAGAAAACTGAGAAGATAGTAATTCTATGTGTGATTTGAGGTTTGGATGAGTCGAACATATCTTGTCTTCTGACATTTACAAAGTAGTTTGAGAGTGGTAGTACAAGCAATATAGTTCTTCAACATCTATGAAATGAACCACTATTTTTCATTCACTTTCCATTCAATTGGAACTCCAAACGATATCAGTTCATATAGTATATTATTTATTGTATAAAATCTTACATCCAAATGCCATCTGAATCAAGCTGTGCTCTACTATCGAGATATTTATGATGATGCTAGTTGTCTTACGTGCACTTGAAATGCAATAACAGATAATTTAATGTCATTTATTGAAAAAGTAATCTATCTGCCTTAATTTGATCGACTTCAAGTGTTAGAGATACTGTTGTCTGTTGACATCTGATTTTCTTGTGTACTTCTATTTTACAAAGGATTTGAATAAATTCCTAAAGATTTGAACGTTTTCACTTGCATTTAATAATCTTTCAAAGTAGACAGAAACCCATAGTTCATGAGCTTACGTGTTAAATATTTCTATTGACTCAACTACAGTTTCACCAACGCTGTTTACTATATAACCCAAAACTATCGATTGCACACACAATATTCTCACTCGTTCCCGAAACTTTCTATCGAAGCAGCACGATGCACAATTTAGCTGTCTGTATCATTCTACACTGTGCAGAGTTACTTATACATAAAGTAAATGAATATGACGCAGCATAAATAATTAATAAACTGCAATATCTACACTGTAACAACGTTTTAAGGTAGTAGACTAAGCTGCAGAGTTATTATGATCACCATACTCATAATTGACAAACAATAAAAGGTGTTGTGCAACAGTGTGAATAAACAAAATGAAAGCTTGATATTAAAATTTGATAAACACCGTGGATTTTCAATAAAGATACATAACATGAATTCGCAGAGAATGACTTCCAAAGTTTCATATACTCATCTCTTCTCGGTAATATGAATAAAGAGTCTTCAAGCTTCATGAAGTAAAGATTGTTGGTGTATTTCTTGAATTATTAAAGTCTATTAAAAATAAACTGACAATATCACACAACAATTCTACATCATCTGTCTGTTATTGGTTGGTTTATTTCTAACAAATACTTAACAGAACATAAGCGATAGTATTTCAGTGAACATCACTACAAGAATAATAATGGTAATAAGGAATAAACTAAAAACCAGACAAATTTCCTTACCTTGATTGAGTAGTGATAAGAAAATGACGTCTACAGAAGCCAATGCTTTCACGATGCGCATTATGTTGTTATGAGTTGAAACTTAAGTTTCACTTTTAGGCATACGACAATTCTTCTTTGTTGTATTGATGTACTTACAAGTGATTGAATTGGTTATTTTTCTTAAGGTTCAATCAATGAAGAGATGGGTGATGAAAAAGGTTAGTTTGACAGCAATATCTGAGATAATAATCATAATCATCATAATAATAATACAATTTATTCCATTGTAACAGTTTATCAAACATTATGGTATTTAACGACACTAACTCATTGAAGAAGTATCAATGACAATTGAGCGAAGAGAATTTTCTTTTCGATGATATCACTTAGTCAAGTTGTACAATGATATTTCTAGTTAATTAACAAATGAAACGGTTTATTCAGAAATCGGAAAACAATTACATTACGGCAATTAGTTATGGTTAATAAATTCATTGTTCTTATGATAATTTCTGAGGAATATCATCTGTCTCATTGATGAATACCATTGCATTAGCAAATATAACCTGATTATGTTGTTCACTGTAAGATTAATCAGTTACATTCAACGAATATAATAGCATAGAATCATAATTCTTTTAACTATTTCTATCATGATATCATTCTGAGTAGGATTAACAAGCCTTTAAATCATTAACAATATAATTTGCTTTATTATTTATTCATTCAGCTCAATCGAATTCAATTAGAGAAGAACAAGGTAGGCATTGTTTACTTTGCAACTTATTTACACATTGATTGTCATTTATATAAACCTCTAATGAAATGTGTTTTCGAATGCAATAATGGTGTTTTTCTCACAAGTGTACACACACATGAAGCACCATCTTGAGCGATTAGAATAGCAAGTTGATGAAGATTACATAGTCATCAACATAACGATGTTACGTGAAGGATATTTTACAGAATTCACGATTTCTCGACAAGAAGACGTGACTTATGGAGTAGAGCATTGAGGATAGACATTAGCTGTAGCAGTGGACGGTGGTTTGGCGAGACTATAAATCGACTGATGCTAGAAACATGAATGATTGAATGATGGATGACCTAGTGGTTTAGGTGTTACAGACCCATAATGGATGTTGAAGTTGTAGTTGTAGTTTTGGACTGCTGATGCGGTTCCTGCTGTTCACTATTGGAAATCTCATACTAGGAAGCTACCACAACCGTCTTCCAGAGTTATTCATCGGTTGTTTCGATCATCATCTATGAGTATGTTATTGAATGCAAAATAATCAGTTTCAATGAACGTTGCATGTTTCGGTTTTTACCATTGAATTTTTTAAAATTTTCATATTTTCTTTAAACATATGTGTACATGTGTTTATAAAAGAACCAATACTACAATCTGACCAACGTGTAGTTATGGGTAAGGCACTGTTAGTAATTTGTGCACAAGCCAAATATTGAAGTGTAGATTTTTTGTATAATTACACGCCTGTGGATTATTTTGTGTGTAAGTGTAAATGTTTTAGTGTATATTCCTGTGGTTAGATTTGTGCCAGCGTATGTGTGTTCAAACAATTATTAAAACTCAATTATGGTAGTTTCTAGACTCAGAGTATTTTTCCTCTATTTTGTATCGAATTTTTCCAACTTTAGAAGCAGAATCAGCTAGATCACAAGAAAATGAACAAATAAAAGGTGACATTTGTTTTCTTTTAAAGTGTTTACTCGCATAAATATACCGATCATCATAATCATCATCATCACCGTCATCAGTAGCAGCACCGATCTGTTCAATCGAACAGAAAGTCCACTAATATTCCGGCGACATTAGAATGGGAGAATGCTTAGCAAAAGTAAAACAATTTCATGAGAAACAAAATAATAGATATTGCAAACAGTTATCCTCAACTAATAGGAATGATAATATTATTACCAGTAGTAGTGGTAAAAATAATCCATTTTTAAACAATCATAATAATGATACTTACCTCCGCCTGTCACTCGCAATGTAGCATAGGCCACCC